ACAAACAAACCTCAAGCTGAGTGTATCAGCAGTTATGTACCATCAAAATTCGGTTGTTTCAAACATATATACTAAACATATAAATTTCAATTCTTAAAAAATATTGAAAAAAAACCCTACCAATTGCATTGTATCTCATGCCGTGCTAAAATAATGAACGCATAAAAAACTACACACAACAGCAGCATTAAAGACGATGCTCGCTGCCTGCGACGACGTGTTTGCGCGCGCCATCCGTACATGCGAGACGGCAACGCATGCTTGTCTGAAACAGACAGTATAGCTTATCCATACAAGCATGAATACGGACTCAATACAATGTCTGATTTCATAGTAAACAACATGTTTTTGGGGGTAGATAGGTCTTGATCGATAGGATTTGATCCCATCTACATTGCCTAGTGTACAGATATGTGCTTTTTCAAGTTTGGTGTGACGTTATAGTGGTCCGAAAGAGGAGATGTCATGAAATTTTGGCTAGTAAAACCGATACTTTTCCATACAAACAAAGTTTGCGGAAAAGTAATAAATAAATTGAAAAAATTAATACTTCGCATCAGGAGAAACCATACATGAGTGAAATTTGTTTTGAATGAAAGATACTTAAAATGGAGAGAAGACACACGTAGATTGGCTTAAGATAGAGATAGAGTAGCTTGAAAGTATCGAATTTAAAACCCAAAAAATATTAATTGCGAAAAAATTAACGTACGAGAGATGGCACAAGAAGCCGAGGATGACACAAGAATTGAAGTAATGACAAATATAGTGACAATAACCCGAAGTTTTGAAAATAGTGCAACTCGGCGTATGTATCCATCAATTCAACTTTCTGCATCATTAGTTTTATGAAATTTAATTTTTTCAAGCTTTTATAGTGATTTGACACTTTTGACTCTTTTCCGATTTTCTCGACAAATACGCAATTTTTCAAAAATCCAAGTATGTGGTCTTTCTCTATTTATCATGGCACAAAACATATATCAAAATGATTCAAAAACAAAAAATTGTGCATCAAAGGGTTAAACAAACCATTACACTCATATCGAAAAATTATACTAATTTCATTTAAGTCATGCCGCATTTGGAAAAAAACGCAATCGAGTCCACACCTTATCTTTTTTCATCTTCATTTTTAATAAACAAAAATCTAGTTCAAATTGTTTTTTTTCTCGATGGGTAGAGTTTTGATTTGAAAAAATGTTGCGTAGTTTTGTTTGATAAGTGATTCAAAGTGCGTGTGCGTGTGAGTGTGCGTGTGCTGCTTTTCAATTTACTACCAGAGAAAGAAAACTCAAGGTCACCAATTTTTTTTTTGAATTGCATGTCTTATGCTCACAGTTAAGTAGTTAATGTAATACTTACTTAAAAGAATATGAACATAGTCGATAAGAACACATCGAGTAGTTAGGAAAATTACACAGTACTGTATTGATTCAATACTATTAAAGACGTCTTCAAGATAATGGATATTCACTGCAATCAACGATTCAGAAAAAAACGAGTAAATTGGATGTAGGCTATAAACACAATTTGTGTTTGCTCAATTTTTTTCCTGTAAACATTTTCACGAAAATGGTCTCTACAAATTACACAGTGCAACAATTAAAAAAAAAATTAAACGAATTGAACTTGGCACATCCCATATTTTAGTACTACTATAGCTGAGTAAAACCCCAACTGGGTTTTGCAAAATTGGTTGGCGTTTTTATTTTATCGACTTTTGTAAAAAAAATTCAACACAGATTTTCAGCAATGTTGACTTTTTCATTTTTTGGTTCATAACTCATTCTGTATTGGTAATAGCGTGTTACTATTAAAATACGGAGCAAAGACAAACATTAAAAAAAGGTCATCGCTTTCATGACCGAATTTTTCTTAATGTGTTTACATACAAAATGTAAATATTAATGAATCGGAAAGTTCTACAGAGTTTCTTCCCACCCTAAAATTTATGAGATTTCCGTTTTTTATCGTCAATGAATAATTGATGGTCAATCGTTTGACAACTTACCATTTGGTTCGTTCAATGGTTGGTACAGGTCATATGTGAGTGTTGAATTATTATTTATACTTCTTCCTTCTAGTATTCATAATTTTCAGATATTCACATAGGAAAGAAACGAATGACAAAAATCCAATGGATATTTTTGTATAAAAACCAACAATCATCGAATTTCTGCCTAGATGTAATCATTCATTTCATCTGGACGGTTTATTTTTGACATAATGAGAACGACATTTCTCTTTCTCATTTTCCTACTGGCTTCAAATGGTCAGACCATTGAAGAAGTTACAAAGTTGGTGCAAGATTTGATTAAAAACGAAAATATTCCAACAGTTCTTTCGGTGATTTCTTGTTGGTCGCAATCGGACAATTTCCACTTTATGAAGTCGTCTAAAGTTCCCATTCAACTGAGCCGCGGTTTCAAGATATCTCTTCGCATTGTTGATGATAGTACAAATAAGCTTTGGTACTTCATTGATATGCGTTGCAGTGGTAGTTATGATTTTTTGCAAAAAATCGACGGAGAATACTTCGCTCATCCATATCGGTGGATTTTATTTAAACCAGACGAAGATCGTTTGGCGAAGTTACCATTTTTAACAGATAGCAATGTGATCCTGGTCAACTTCAACTTTGAACTGGAACGATTTGATTTGAAACAAGGTAAGAAATGACATAAAAATTGCAGCAACCAAATCTCATTTCGCGCATATTCCTCAGTTTATAAAATGGACAAAAGCTCACAATTCATATATGAAGTCTTTGGAGAATGGAGTAGTAAAAATGGTCTCTCTGACTTACGCGAAACCAGAATTTTATCTCGACGACGCAGAAATTTTCGTGGAAAAGTGCTCAAGTCAACGTTGGTTGTGTCGAAGAACGAATCAATCAGTCAATTAAATGACCGACGGTACATGTTAATAAATCAATCCACTTCAATGATATTTTTAACCAATTGAAGGACCATTTAAAGGAACTCACATATCGATTTTCCTGCAAAACATGGATATGCTATCACGAATCTATTGGCGAAGTCGGTGAATTCATCGATGGAGTATGAATTCGTGAATACTTGGGGATATGGTGATATGAAATACCCGAAGAAGCTGAAAGGAATGATGGGTCATTTGATGAGAAATGAAATTGATGTCGGAGGTGATTTAATAATTTGTTGGCTTCAAATTGGGTTCCAATTCATTTGGATTTTGAAAATAAAAAACACTCGATTTTTAGGCACTGTCTGCTTTATAACCACAGACAGAGTTCCACATCTGGAATACCTATCGGCAACGTTGCGCGTGAAATTTGCATTTGTATTTCGTGCTCCGCCTCTTACGTATGTCTCAAATATTTACTACTTGCCGTTCGCGGGCATGGTTTGGATTTGTGCGATACTGCTGGTCGGCCTGAGTACGCTGATTATCTACATTACATACCAATTTTCAAAGGGAAAAGACCAGAAACTGATATCATCCGATTTTTTGCTGTTTGCCATCAGTACAATCTGTCAAATGGGCAATCACTTGGTTCCAAAAAGAATGTCTGGGAAAATTGCAACGGTGAGCGTTCACTGTAATTTTTGAATCACATTTTAGATGAAATCTGTCCTGGCTTTCAGTTTGTGTTCTGCTTAGGTCTCATATTCATCTATACATCATACACTGCAAATATTGTCGCATTATTGCAATCAACATCAAAGAATATACGAACTTTATCCGATTTATTGAATTCCAATATGGAAATGGCCGTTGATGATACACCCTACTCTCGCCACTATTTCTCAACCGAAACTGAACCGATTCGTAAGAAAATTTATGAAACCAAAATCGCATCACACACACCGCCTAATTTTTTAAATGTCAGCTACGGCATTAGTCAAATGCGGAAAGGACTATACGCCTTTCACACAGAACTTGTTACGGGCTACAAAAATGTTAAAGACACGTTTTATGAACATGAAAAATGTGGCCTGGTTGAAATTGAGTATTTGCAGATGGTCAATCCTTATCATGTGATTCCAAAACATTCACCATATAAGGAAATTTTCAAAGTGAGGTTCGTACAATCAGTTCAATTTCTTCATATTTACATTATTCAAGCTATAGGTATAAAGCGAATATCCAAAATTTAATTTGAATTGGTTTATTTTATTGGATTTTGCAGTTTGTTCAAGATTCGGGAGCATGGCATGCAAGGAGTGGAAAAAGCTCGTCG